CATTGTAATGAAAACATGAAGGATGACAGGAGCATTGATGAATCACACAGAGCCCTTTCCTTCAGTCTGACACCTCCCATACAAAACAACCCTCTGTCATTGTCTCCTGATCCATATGCTCTTCTGCTTCAACAGCTGTTTCCTGCCTGGGCACCACCAGATATTATTGATACCATTTCATTTCTTGAAGAAAAAGGGAAACACAAAAAGATATCTTGCTGAAGCAACATCTCATGTAATTGCATACCTTATTTTTATTTCATTTATTCTCATATCTTGAATTATTCTTTCCTTCAAAATTTGTCTAGATTATTGTAAATTATTTCCCTCCCTTTCCTCAATGCAAGTATTCCAGAATGACTTGAGTGCTAGAGTGAAAGTTTGTGCTCCTTTCACCCTCATCTCCACACGCTTGGCCTGTTTGCACACTGGATGAGATTGTTTGTTTTCCCCCACTGTAGTAATTATCCATGTCTTTCTTCCCATTAGTCATCTTCCTTCTGCATCCATCTTTATTAAAACTAGAAGCAAAATACTTCTTGGTTTTCTAAGTATTGCCAGACTTCCTTCAATCTCTATGCCCTTCTCACCACATGACTGCACTGCCCTGTTTCTTTTTTCCTGGTTGAGGTAACTACTTCTAGCTGACATTATTTAACTTCTGCATTTCTTCATCTTGAAGACAACACTTTCTTAGGAGAGTGATTATCTTCACTTTCACCTTTAGGTTTTCTATTTCCAATGGCCTTAATTACAAAGATGCCAGATAATCTTCTATGAGATCCTTTCCCTTTGCTCAAGGTACAATGTCCAGTTCATTTCTGCTGCACTGGCATAAAAAAATCCAGTCTTTTCTCTGCATTCAAGCCCTTGAGTCCTTCAGCCTTGTTGATTAATTTCTAATTGTGTCTCTTGCCCCTTCCCCCTTTGACTTAGAATACCTTTTTTACCCATCCATTTATTTTAAACTGCACCTCTGAAACAATTTCCCCCCGCTATGACCATAGTAGCCTTACAGTACACCCACTACCCACAAAGCTAATCCACCATCACCTCTGCTGTTGGCCTGGTGGCCGGCAAGGACAGCAGCCTCTCTCTTGTACTCAGCACGGCTCAGTCCCAGGTGTGGTTCACAGTCTGCTCGCACCTCTCAGGGCAACTCAGGGCAGGGGCAGGGCAGGGCAGGGCAAGACAAGGCAGGGCAGGGCAAGCAAGGCATCGGGAGGTGTGGGGCGGCAGGGTTAGGTGTATGACCCATACTGACACCCGCAGGGCCGATGCAGCCGCCAGCCGGGGCACCGGCCGGGTGGCTGAGCCTTTATGGACGCCGTGCGCGTTTCGGTCAGCCTGGCGGGATTTTGGGAGCAGAGATCTTCGGGAACGCTCGATCCGTCGCCGCCAGGATGCTGCGGGCGTTTGACTCCCGAAGAGCGGGGAGGTCACACACAGACACAACCTCCCCACTTCCCACATCCTTCCCCACCCGAGGCGCGGGGTCCGCCGCGCCCCCCGCAGCCGCTCACGCTGCCCGGCACAGGCGGAGCGCTGTCGGGGCGTGTTTCGGGCGTGTTTAGGGGCGTGTTTCGGGACCTGTTTCGGGGGTGTTTCGGGGCGGTGCTCGGGCGCTCTGAGTGGCCGCCAGGGCCCGGGGCGGGACGCGGGGGCGAGAAAAGGGCCGAGGTCTCGGCGGCGGCAGCTCGGGCGCGGGTGGCGGCCGGGATGCGCCTGACGCAGAGCATGTGCACCATCGCCGAGTGCGCGCCCGGCGGCGAAGGCCCCGCCACCGCCCGGCCCCGCCTCGTCAAGATCGCGGTGGTGGGGGGCAGCGGCGTGGGCAAGACAGGTGAGGGGCAGCGCCGGGCCGGGCGGGCGGGGGGCTGGCGGCGGCGGAGCGCGGCTAATGGTGCCTGTCTGTGCCTGCCCGCAGCGCTCGTGGTGCGGTTCCTCACCCGGCGGTTCATCGGCGACTACGAGCGGAACGCAGGTAGGCGGGCGGCGGCGAGGCTTTGTCCCTTCCCGCCGGCACGGGGTCGGGCGGGGGTACCGCGGGGCGGCGGGTGGGGGCCTCCCCTGAGGCTGCCTGGGCTGGGGGGGCGAGCCCTGAGGGAGAGCGGGGCCCCAGCGCTGAGCCGGGCACAGGTGGGGCGGGCAGAGCTCGCTCCCTCGCCCGGGGCTGGCAACGACCCGGATCCCCCGGGTTCCGCGGCTGCTGGAGCCCCGAGAGCCCCTTCCCTGCCCGCTCTGCTCGCAGCCCTCGGAAAGGGGCACGCCAGGCACAGCCACATGCGGTTTGTGGTGGCAGCAGATCTAGGGATGGGTTGTACTGCAGGTCTCGGGCAGAATTTGCTTTATGTGGTGGAAGTACCTCTTTTTTGAAGGAGTCTTTTAGCTAAAAGCAGAAAACATTCTGTAAACCTTCTGCTGTATTGTTCTCTGCAAACTGAGTGCCAGCAGCTGCATGGGCTAGGCAGAGCCAGTCATAAAGGGGAAAATGGAGAGGTGATGTTACATACCTCATTCAGTGAGTACAGTGCAGAGTCTGAACTAATGCCCGTGTGAAATAGACAGCTTTCTGTTGAGGAAATTACTTGAAAAAGCCAAACAACAACCAACCCAGAAAATCTTACAGGCCACCTAGCAGGGAGCCAAAAAATGTATTTGTCTTGGTTTAGGGCAAATTTGGAAGAAAACTTTAAAGGGGGAGCTTCATTTAATGATGGAAATACTAAATGACAAGAAAACTGCTTTTCTATGGAATGAAATCGGGTTGTTTTGCACTCTTACCTTTATCATTCAAGATAAGACAGTCTTTAAGAGTGTTAAAAGTTCCAGGTTGCCTACCATTTGATGCCCAGCTTCAATACAAGCAAATTCATCATTAAATCCCAGGTTTCTAGCAATAAATATTGTTAAAACCCAAAAAGCTAATAGCACTAGTTTCTTGCTTCATGAGGGGTGATATGACTTTCCCTACACAACAAATGGGTAGCAGAAGTAACATTTGTCTATAGAGTGGTGACTGTACCTGTGAACCTGTTGGTGTTCTTGTCAGGTAATCTCTACAGCAGGCACATCCAGGTAGATGGAGAGATGTTGGCTATCCAAGTGCAAGATACTCCAGGAGTTCAGGTGAGCTAGATGCAACCATGCTACCAGAGTAGCTCTAAATGTTTGTGCGCTTGCATCCCTCTGTGCAGCATCTTGTTGTGGTCTTTCTTTAAAACGTTTTGCTGCGTGTTTCAGAGTTTGGTGTTCCTTGTGGGAGAGGTCGTAACTTGTGTTTGAACCAGTCAAGCCAGCTGTTGAGAGACTGTTTCAATGAATCATTTGTGCATTGGAAGCCCGTTACTTCTGAGTGGCTGAATTACTGAAGTGCCTTGTTCCTGTATATTGGGAACATTAGGCACAAATCCAGAAACAATTCAAAGTGGTATATGTGAAAGATGGTATACGAGAAAATAAATGTCATGACCACTGCCCAACAAGCTTCATAAATGTGTATGGCAGAGTGAAGTCTGCTACATTGTGGCTGTGCTCATTAGTGTGTCACAGGCTGAAGTTTTAAATGTATAGACCTGAGTAATGCTGGACTGTTGCCTTTTTGAACTGGGCAACACTCCAGGTCTAAATGCTTCCAGCTCATATCTTTGCTTCCCCAGACTTACTGTCTAGCCAGTTAATTTCCCATTCTGTGGAACTACAAAGTCTTTCTCTGCATGCAGAACTACTCAGGTCAATTTTCCATTTGAGTATAGCAAACTCCAGTGTTAAATTCCAGCTTTTTGCAGCTGAATCAACATCTGCATTTACTCGCTATGCTCAGATTAAGTTCATACTTACCATGTGAAATCCAAATATATGTCTGAAGCTGTAAAATGCTATTTGGCTTTACAGAGTCCTGAAGACAGGTTTCTTTAATCTTTTATGACTTCAGCTATCTAATTTGAGACTACTCACTTTTCAGATCCATGAACACAGTCTGGATTGTAATGAGCAACTGAACAGATGCATTCGCTGGGCAGATGCCCTGGTGATTGTCTTCTCCATCACTGACTATAAGAGCTTTGAACTACTCAGTCACCTTTACCATCATGTTCGACAGCTACACCCAGGGAACCTGCTCCCTGTCGTCATTGTGGCAAACAAAGCTGATCTCTTGCATATCAAAGAGGTGGAGCCTCAGCAGGGACTTCAGCTGGCCAATATGCTGGGCTGTACTTTCTATGAAGTATCTGTCAGTGAAAACTATAATAACGTCTTCAATGCCTTTCATCTCCTCTGTAAAGAAGTCAATAAACAGCAAATAACCAGCACCCCTGAGAGGAGGAGAACCTCTCTTATTCCACGGCCAAAATCACCCAACATGCAGGATCTGAAGAGAAGGTTTAAGCAAGCTTTGTCTGCCAAAGTGAGGACTGTCACTTCTGTTTGACAGCACAGCCCTTGGTCTACCCAATGTTTAGCTTGAGATTGAAACCTGGTGTGTTTAACATTGGCACATGTAGAATCCAAGATATTGTGAAAGGAGGATGGTTTGAGTAGCCTTTTGCATGGTAGAAGTCTTTAAGCAGTTGCTTAAAAAAAGAACAGCATCAGCTTAGAAAAGGGGAAAAAATAAAACCACCTGAAAAAGTTATACTTTGCAACTTGCTGAACAGATATTTTCATTTGGAAAGGGACCTTTTCAGTAAATGAAACCATTTGCCTTTTCCCCAGTTGGACAGATTTGGCTTTCATTTGTGCAGAAACAACTTTTTTGCTGTAACTCAACTTGAGCAGGGAAGTGCCCTGAACTGCAGGTCCCTGTTCAGAAGTAACCGCTTGAGTTTTCTTCTCACATGGATGAAGGACAGCATGATGAAACTGTTTAATTTTATTGCACAGTAGAACTGGTTTTGTTCTGTGTATTTCAAAACAAATAAGCAAACATCAAATGGTTCTGTAAAAATAAGTGTAAAATAAGTGGACAGGACTGAACATCAAGACTGTAAACAATGGTCTTTTTTTTTTACTAGCCATGTTATTGCTGACAACTTGACCTTACTCTTTGTATGCAAAGCTATTGTCTACAGGGTGTAAACATATCTAATTGCAAACAACTTTTACTGTCTTAAAAAAGTACTTTCCAGACTAAATGATCCAACATGGAGCTTCTGAGGAATGTGTGTGGAGTGATAGTCTAATACAGATGCCATTCTAAGACATCCTTTTTTCTCTCTCTCTCTCCTGTGTGCAGTAGGTGCAAAAAGAACAAAAGGTGTGAAGCATGGCTGGCTCCAGGCAATGAAGCTGATGGCTTGTTCTGAGCTGAGCCAGACCCTCTTCCTTCTTAAACATATGGCAGATTTTATATAAATACTTAATTCTTTTTAATATTGAACCAATGGTGTTCAGAGCCTAAGGGCCTTATACACATGCACTTTAAAAAGCCAGTCGTGCTTTTGTTTAAACTGTAACTTATTTATTTTGTGTACAGTTACTCCTCCTAGGGAGTGGACTTTTCATTCTTACTGCCTGGTACAACATTAAATTTTTGAATTGCATGTTTCCTCGTATGTTCTTTGGGGGTGAGAAACAAGGAGTAACAACCAGTGAAATGCTGAGACAAAGTAATAGCTTTCTTAAGGTAGTTAACATACCCTGCAGAAAATGCAAGGTGTCCTTTCCTGCCTATGCTGTTGCTTTATTAGCATAAACCACAGGGGTTTTGCTCTCACAAATGCTTTACAACTTCCTTTTAAGAAATTCCTGTAGGAGAGGAACTGAATAAGGCAGAGACCTTTCAAATTAAAATGGGATTCTTCATTTCCACTTGTCAAAAATACTTTGGTCTTTAGTGAGAAGGGAATAGTGTGAGGTAGGTCAAAACCTGTAAGAACATTAACTCTATATGACTGCCACTTTCTTTACAAAAATTTATGTTTTGAGCTATATCACTGTGAAGACCTTAATCAAATTGCAAGTCTTCAACTATCTTTTCATGTTTAAGGTAGCTTTACTAAAAGCCTGCCTGAGGGGGATGTTTGTGCTGGTATTAGGCTGATGGCCATACAGGCTCACCTTGTTAGCACACAGCTGCAGGGATGCAGGGAGACTCTGGCAGGGCCCCTGACGATAATCTTTTGGACCACGAGTTACTAGCCAAGTGACTTAGGGTTGGCGTTGCAAACAAAACTGAGCTTATACCAAATAGTGCTTAGCTTATTAATAGAGAAGTAAATCAATTTCCCAAGAGTAGCTTTATGTTTTCTCCTCTTTTTGCCTTCTGAGTATTGCTTGGTGTTGCAGGCAGAGGACTCAGACACTCTTTGCTACGGTCTTGCACCTGCCCATTCAACTTTCTTCTGTACTGTTTCTACTCATGTGGGACTGGCAGGAGATCCCTCATCCCTTCACATTTTCCCCCAGCACAGGGTTCCTGTAGCTGCTACAGCTATCTCCTACAAATGAATAATCTTACTATTGCACTAGGGCCACTGGAAAGTCTCCACTGTACTTTTGGTCCATAAGCAGCATCAATTACCACAGCTGTGGCCCCATGGGCTGAGAAGATTCCTCCAAAGTGTGTGTGGGCTGGGAAGCTGGTGTCTGTCTCTGCTTGAGCCAGAGGAAGTGCAAGATCACTGGTGTCTGCTCAGACTCAGCCCTGCCTCTTCCATACAGTAGATGGCCAAGTCAGAGACCTGAGGGCATTTGATGAAAGACAGGTGAGGGGGTGAAGACCACAACAGCAGCCTCCAGCAGCTCAGGAAAGCAGCAGCATCTCAGAGGTGTGAGTGCCTGAGCTCAGCAATGGCACTGAACACGGGCAAGCCTTTCTGCTATGAGCTGAGTTTAGGAAATGTTCTAGGACCAAGATAGACGGTCTAGATTCCTAGGGACAATCAAATAATGCAAAAGTAAAAGGGATTGCAGGAATATGCACTTCTGGCATGTGTAGCTCTGCATACTAGGAGAAAAGGAGAAGGCAGATTAGGTTTGGCATTGTGAGAGCATTGCTTTATTGATTACAGAATTTATGAAACAACCATATTCTAAGAAAGATTGAACAGTACAGAATGACAGAAAAACCAAGAGACCAACTACTTGCTTGCCAGTTGCTCTATTCAAACTATTCCTTGAGCTTTTAATATTGCAATCATAGCATTTCTCATTTTTTCTAGCACAAAGTTCCATTCTATAGTCATTCTTATAAATTTCTCTTCCATAGAGGAGACATTGTCTGTGCTTTATAATCAGTCCATTGTTTACTTCCAGCCACTCAAAATTGAATTTAAACCAAAATGCACCCTTTTCTGAAGACCATAAACATTTAGGAGAACTAATGCTAGCTAGTGAACAAAATTTAAAAAACTACTTCCCATTTATTCTACTCTGGCATAATAAAGAATGCTGTGATAGAGTGAATGTCACTTAATTTCACATTCTCATCTCAGTGTAAAATGTAGTTGTAGCATTACTTGGATGAAGTAAGAGGATGCAGCTTTAGAGCTCCACCATTTTATGTTGCAATTCAGAAATCTCGGTGCTATATGAAATTCTCTATTGGCTGCTGCTCTTCCATCACAGATTGTAGCAAAATTTTATAAAGAAAAGTTACATAACTGAATTTGATTGCAGCTATTTCATGATCATAAATTAAAAATAAAAGCTGTTTCTAATCAAGCTGTTCAGAAATCTAGCTCAAGAAAGAATCTGTGCTGTGGCCTCTTGAAAATGGGATCATGCCCTTTTTAAAATTTTTTTTGTTCCTTCTTTTTTAAATGCATGTGAGGGGAGGATTCTTTTGGGGTTATCATCAAACCATCACAGCCCATATGGCCTCCTGCATAAATCTACAGAGATGTGTGCCATCAGAAACTGTCTTTTCTTCTGGGACTGTGGGGGGAGAAACTAGAGCAGGAAACTGAAGGCTGAGAGAGAAGCAGCCATGTAACCCAGCCCTTGAGTCTGGCTCTGCTTCCCTGCCTCCAACAGTCCTGCTGAGAGAGCATGGCCAGGCTGGGAGCTGTGTGCCAGCCAGATCAGGGCTCTGTTCCATGATCTCTCTGGAGTGAGGAACAAAGTGCGAGTAGATGCTGTTAACATTGTATAAGGCACACATCTTGCAAGGTTGCATGACAGAGGGTGGATTTTGCTAACCTCTCACTCTCTCAGCAGCATTTCCCACCAGCAAGCCCAGCAAAACCATCAGGAAAAACGGTACTGGTGGGGAGTGCAAATGGTGCATCACCTGGTTCTCAGCTGCTCTTTTGCTTGGGAATGATTACAAACAATCACCCTCACCATGCTGAGCGAGGCTGGGAGTGATTCAGCACTGCGCAGTGCTATCGTCAGTAGGGGAGGTTGGTTGTTGGACAAATGGACCATTCTGAAGAGCTGCCCATGAGCTGCAGGTGTTCCCTTGCAGCCAGATACCCTGCTGTTTCACCTGCAGCTGTAATTGCAGCAGTTGACACATCAGTTTTTGGAGGGCTCTTGAGAAGAGTGACAGAGCAGAGATTTGATGTTTCCAGGCAAGGCACTCATCTTCTCCACAGCCTCCCCCGTCAGATGCGAGCGTCAGGCTGGAGACGGTCTGATGCAAACAAGAGCTCCACAGCACTGTGTGGTGTCAGGACCACAGAGGAGAGCACAATTACCTGAAAGAAGGGGAACAAGAAGCAACAAGTCAAGCTGAAAGGGATTGAGACAGTACTAATGAGCCATAGACAGTAACTGTTTGCTTTACCCAGCTCTAGGCAGGCTGGCTGCCTCTGGTGTTTACTGATAGAGCAATGTACCTTGTCCAGCAAAACTGTCTGCTGGCTAATAACTGCAGTTAAATCTCTTTAAGGAGCATAATGACTGCTAGCATTGTATGCTTAATGAATGTGTGCTTTGACACATTTCTACCCACATTTTACCTGGTGATTTATTGTGACTGCCAGTGCATTTACTGTGAGGCACCAGCTGATGAAGCTGCAGTTTCCTCTCCTACAGCACAGATCTGAGTGATGCCTGTTTCCTCTCAGTTGAAGGTAAGGTGAGCAGCACAGAAGTGCCTGCTGCAGGAAGCCAGACTCTCGGTTCCAAACCATTTTTTCAGACCAGGCACAGGCTGTTCTGCGCATCAGGCTCAACCTTGAGCACATTCAGATGTTATCACTTTGGTTTCTTCCAGTTTTTAATCCCAGATGGGTCTGATGAATGAAAACATTGCTCACTACAACCATGACAGACATGCTGCCAGGTGCAGGTATCTGTTTTCCCTGAGTGAAAACCAGCATGTAATTATGTGGTGTGAAGGCTTCTCTGCAGAGCAAAGCTATCATCCAGGAGTGAGTGTGTACACTCTTGCTCGGAGGAGCGAAGCCAGGGTTGAAATCATAGGACACTGCTCTTACTGAGCCCCTAGTTTAGCAGTGTCCATAGGGTCAGGATTGCAGGCTGGGATCTGGGGGCAGATTTAATCATTCTAGCTCACTTGAAAATGAATTTGCTTCTTCAGCGCAAAACTAAGGAGAGGAAGCACAAACATCAACAACAGAGTATGTGTGTCCATCTACTGCAGCAGCTATCAAATGCCTTGTGCTGTCCATCATGTAGCTTAAGTATGTGGTAATGCTGCATTTAAACTTTTTTTGTTGCTCTTTCTTTCATCTTTTCACTTCAGATACTGAAAAGATCCCTTCTGTATTGGTGATAGCCTCCCCCTCACTTCTCCTCTTCCCTTGTCCTCCCACACAATCTGCAGCAAACTGACACTGATTATCTCTTCCTTCATAAGCCTGAAAAAGTCTCTGTAACTTGCAGATGCCAAAGGCTGACACTGTCTTACTTATGTTACATGAGAATCAGACTATAGTACAGTATGTGCTCATCTTGTTATCCTGCAGCTTTAACTCTGAAAAACATGAAGGGACATGTTACTAAACTTTTTCTAGTGTACAAGCCAAACATCAACAATAGCCACTGACAGATAAAAGCAATTTCTTCTTGGAGTCCTACTACTGAATCCTCAGGAGATTTGTGCAACAAATAGTAAGCCCAGAGTGAAAAATGAGATCTCCAACTTTAATGTCTCAGAAAAGATGCTTGAATACAGCAGGACTTCTTTCCCTCCAGTGTTTCCAAGGGCTTGTTGAGGGGGATAAATGTGAATGTTTGTTCTTTCATTTTTACAGAGGAGAATTGCCCAGATAAGTAATGTCCATCTCTTCTGCAGGCAGCTCTCTTCAGGACAGTCCTTTGCAGCCTTTCTCCTTGTTCCATACCCCATGCCTGCCTTTCACCCTTCACCTGAAGGGCTCTCCCCTCCTAGTGGCAGCCAAGGTGGAAGAGCCAGGAGCCCCCATCCTGACCCACTGAACTCCAATGGGAAGTTTCCCCCCAGCACACCTGAAGGTAGGGAAGGATGGAGCTAGCATCTAAAGGGGCATCTGAAAGTTTATCAGTCTGCTGGCCTCAGCCACGACCACATTGTAATGTTGGGAGAAGGGAGAGAGAAACATGTTGGTTGTATGTTGGGAGAAGGGATTGAGAAACATTCTCTCATGCTCTTTCCCCTTTATTACTCTCCTGATAAGCAGAAAAAGAGAAGTAATTTCTTCCTTAAAAAATAGGATACTTCTCACTAGTTATGGGGAGCTATTTACCACCATTCAAAACCAAATGGTGCATAGGAAACACTGTATTTCTTTGTGCTTCTCCATGAGAAATAAAATTGTCATTCAGATTCAGATGCAGAATAGTTCTGTGGATAGAAACATGTGTCTCTTATTCCACATTTAAATGTCATTTGCTTCAACTCCAAACAGTTGCTGAAGTAATCAGTGCATCCTGTCAGTTTTTCTTCAATTCCTTTACTCAATTTTTGTACTTACACATTTCTCCAGTTTCCCAAGAGCCAGTAATTAGTATAAATGTTAGTGCTTTGTTTGACTGGAATGGACTTGGAAGGCCAGTGTTTCCCTGAAGCCTGAACCTGACTGCCTGAACAGCACAAAAAGGCTCTGTTAAATCCTGGCTTGAGTTAGATAAATGCCTGGCTTTTTGAAAAGAAAGTAATCCTAAACAGGTGCTGTATATTCACAACTATAGTGCAGAAATCCAGGTAAAGCCAACAAATTTACAAACTTTTTTTTTGTGAGAGATTTGCACAACTGCTTAGTTTTTTCTTTCTCTTCCTCCTCCCTCCTCTCCCCCAAAGTTCTTTCACCTCTAACACAGCACAGTTGGATAAAGGGAAAGATGCAGCAAAAGCTTAAAATGCTTTAGGAATCTGCCTCAGAGGGTGACCTGCTGCCAGGGTTAAGCCAAAGCAAAGCAACACCAGATCCCATGTCACCACTGTCAAGCCTTAAGTCCCTCTAGAAAGCTAGTTGAAAATCTCCCTCAGATGTTAAAACCCACTCAGATGTTAACCCTCTGTTTATCTTTCAGGGTGTCTTAATACATTTTGTGTGTGGATTAACTTGTCCATCAGTGTGTCACAACTCAACTCCCCTCCACGAAGGAAAATATAATTTGCTATTTAGAGGAGATTAGCAGCAGACTAATGGGGAAGAAAGGTGCTATCGGATTCTAAGAAACTTGCTAAAATGGTACTCCATCTTACAAAATACTGCTTGAGACTGCCTTGCAAAGACAACTGAAACATGGAAGCAACATGTCAGACTGAGGGGCTGCTTTGCCTGTTGTGGTTGGCTCCATTTTGCTAATGATTTCTCAATAATCAAAATTGCCTTCCACAGGATTTGAAAACAAGATGTTTGCCAGCCGCCCTGGAAACCAGAGTTATGTTTATGATGCAGCTGGTTACACAGCACTTTGGAGTCTTTGTATTGCCCTGTGTGTCTGCAGTACTCAACAGACACCTGCTTGGTCCTCCACAATTAATGATGATTTTTAACACCTCAGGTGCCACCAGAGCTCACCCATCCTCCTCCTCTCCCTCCTCCATTCCAATGACAGTTACTGTAATCAAGTTCTGCTGCCAGAGAGCGGATGAGGCAAAGATCAGCCACATGGACATTACTGAAGGCTCACTGTGGGAGCCATCCCTTCCAGGAGTCCAACTGCACATTCGAGGGGTGCAGAGACTTGGGGCTTTCTGCACATATCCTGCTTCAGGCTACTTAAGGTCTAATGGTCAGCTATCAGAGACAGCTGGCCAGACACAAGAAGAGTGCAGCTGTATCCAGGTTAATTTATTTGGCTCCTCACCACTGCTAATTGGCATGCCTGCAGGATTACCACTGGTAACTCACTAGGTGGTACCCAGGCTCCTGAGTATCCCTGCACTATGTCCCGTAGATGGATGACCAGGGACCCTGTAGCTTTTTGGACAGCAAATGTTTCTGTTTATAAAGAATACAAAGAAACTAATCTCTTGAGACACGATGGAAGCTACTTCAAATTAATGCTAGTCTGTTCTGAACTCTCCAACCTGAGTTTGAACTTTTGTTGCTGACTATAATGCGAAAAAAGAAACCCTTGGTGCCTGAATACTTGTTGCCTACAGATGTTTCACAGCAAAATCCCAGCATGATTCCTGCCCATATGGCTGTGGCTTTCTGTAGGTTTGGTACCAGTGCTACAGGGAACACTATTTGATGAATTTTCTTAGTTTTTGTTTGGACAGGAACTGTATGCTTAGAGCTGTTTGTACCTGGGTACCAGGTTTGCGTGTTGCTACCAAATCCTTCACCATTTTGACCTCAGAGACTGACACTCCTCCCACCATAAAGATGATCAGAAGAGGATGATCACCAGGGTGAGGGCGATTCACCTGGAAAATGAAGAAAAGCATTATTTGTACTCACTTCATCCAGGTCCATCCAGCGAGTGATCAGCTCCCTAAGTGGCTAAAGGAAGACCAAAGAGGAAGCTCAGAAAGAAATATTCATGGAATACTGTAGCAGCGGAGAGGGAAATCAATGGGGATGATGCCCAGTTAGAACTAATTAGCTGTTTCCAGGGAAATAACGTCTCCATGGACTCCCCTGAAACCTATGGGCGTTTCTCCTGAAGTCTCAGGGTTTCTCCCTCCATTCCTTCTTCATTACTTTCCTCCCTTTACCAGAGAGGGAGGAGAGTACTTGGGTGGATGTTTACTTTGGATACACATACACAGGAGACTTTAGGGAATGAGGGGTAAATTACTACCCAGCAGAAGCAAGGAGTCCGCCCCAAACATGCTAGAATCCCTGCCTGAGGTCAACATGGAAAGGAATTTTATGCAATGTGTTTTCACCAGTGCAGTGAATAATCTTTTACAATTCATCCAATAAAAATAAATAAGGTCCATTGAAGTATAAAATCAGTTTACAGCTTGTTTCAATTCAGAGTTTTCAATGCTTCTATGAGTACCTTTAGCTCCAAGAAAATACTTGTTTCATTTTTCCTCAATTATCTTTAAAATGGCACAAATATTCCACTTCAGTTAAGACCTCATAATTAATTTTAAATGTGAAGGTGATGCTTTAATTAATTTTAAATATGTATTTTAATTTTAAATGTGAAGATGATGCTTTACATCAATTTCCTCTTAGCCACTTCTAGACGTTTGATAACTTTGCTGTTTCCTAGCAAACTGTTTCCTTCTTGAGAAAACACACTCCCCTGACACTACCTTGATCCAGTCTTTGGGAGGGATGTCAACAGAGCCCATGCAATTGCTCTTGTCACATCATCCTGGAGCATGAAACACTCCAAATGTTCAGTTCAGAAAAGTGGCAAAATAGTTTAATTCCTTTTTAGACTCTCTGCCTCCTCTCCTTGTGTGAGCGTAGGCTTTTAACAGCGTTCACTTGACAGAGTGAAATTGGTGTCAGCCCATGTTTGGGCAGAGCAGGGCTCCTTTGCTTTTCCCACCACAGCAGCTTGCTTTGATCCTTGTGGCTCCAGATCCTGGGGGTACAGCTCCTCTTCTTTTCCTTATTGTGGCTTTCCTATATTTAGTAATTTGGCTCTTTTTCATCCTGCAGGTCTGACAGGCTTTATGCCTGGTAACCTTCAGCAAGGACTCTTCCTTGAAGCCAGCACAGGGAGATGCTCTCTCTCCAGGCTAGCTGGCTTTGATTACATGGGGCTGGTTCCCTATTCAATGCTGCTCCCCAGGGCAAGGAGCTCTTGAATTCCTGAGCCTTTAAAACTAGTACATCTGCCTTAGACAGATGTATTAGTTAGCTGAGTATTTGCATAAATATAAATATGGGTGTTTATTCTCTTGCTCTCTGACTTTGTTGATAGCATATATAGCACAATTCCAGGGCATTGGAACAGGAGAGTGGTCCCAGCACCTCACCTGCCTGGATAATGCCCTTGGGCACATGGTGTGATACTTGGGAATGGTGTTGTGCAGGGCCAGGAGCTGGACTCAATCATCCTTCTGGGTTCCTTCCAACTCACAATATTCTGTGATTCTGGGATTCTATGATTCCTAAAATCTTTCCTAGCAAAAACAAACTCATAATAAACATGCATGCAGAACATTGGGCATACAAAGGACACCCAGTATAAGAATTGGAAATCATGAGCTTTCAGGGTTATGCTAAAGAGAAAATGTCTTAACAAATCATTTCCTTCAGTCAAAATAAACCTAGATCCAAACACATGGTGCCTATATAAAACTTACTATTTTTCAGAAGACTAAAGTTCAAACCACAAATTCCAGAAATGCGTATTAAAAATGCTATTAGGCATGCAAGCTCTAAATTCAATTAAAACAGAAATGAAAAGGTCTTGGAATCTGTAATTTTGTTATGCTATGTGTAAGTGTTTTGAAGGAGGACAGTACTTTGGGTACAAAATATTTGGCTGTGTTAAGAATGCAAGTTTCTGCCAATTTATTTTTTTTTCTTGTTTGATAATACAACCACCCAAGACTCTCTCTTTTGAAGGAACTGGCTGCATGTAGCTGAACACAACTCATTCCAGTGATAGAGAAGAAGAACTGAAATGGATTGCAACAAAAGCAATGTGTATCTTCTGGGATCCTTCTATAGTTCAGTTGATTTGGGACATTTCCACTGCCTCTGAATTTACTGTGAAATCTGAATTTTGCCAAAATCCCTGAGAGAAATTCACTTTCAATTCAAAATGCCATATATTAAGAAAAAATCAGAGAGCTGTCTCAGACAATTAAAAAAACCCTCAAAACCATTATGTTGACTTGAAAGAGTCCAAAGGAAGTGGGATGGTGCCCTGAGCCAGCAGAGTGTCCCAGTAGGACACCAGGGCCTTCTCCCCAGCTCTAAGCTCACCATCCAGGGTGTGCTCAGGATGCTGGTGGTCAGAGGGCTCTTTGCTGGTGCATGTGTCTGTGTGAAGGAGAGAGAGAGGAGGAGGAGGTGGTAAAACAGGGTAGCAGTGGTCAGGAAAACTCTAAAACTGAAACTGGAAGGCATTAGAGAACAGGAGTTTTCTCATGGCTCATGGCAGCTCACAAAACACAGGTTTTTTTTCTGAGGAAAGTCAGCAAAACCAATCATTATTGTTCTGTAACTCACCCAACAAAAACAGCACCACTGATGATTCTGGTATTTGTGACCAACCAGAAACCAATTAATTTAGCTCAATAACTGGAAAAAGGAAAACATGTCAATCACCAGAAACTAGGCTGCTGTGTAGGGCAGTGGGTATCAATGATAGCAAGCTCAGATGATCACAAAACATGTCATCTAGAGCAGTAGTCAAAACAGGAGTCCTTGAAGCAGGGAGGCTTTTTTCCTTCACCATCCCTTAGCTTCAAAACAAACATATGTGCCAGACAAACAACTTCTGGATGAGAGATGTCTTTAAAAGTCTGTCCTGAACTAACACACCTGAGGCAATCAGCAAAGTGTTTTTATGTGAGTTGGCATTGGTATTCAGGCATTGAGAAAGAAACAAAAATAAGGAAGCTCACAGAATAATTACTGTGCTGATGGTGTGATTGTGTCAGAAATACAGGCTGGTCAGACACTCATTCATGCAACAATTGAGCACATGCCAGCAAGCCAGGCTACAAACTACGGGAGCAAGCATGGACACATATTTGTGAAGTATATAATGATGCCTATGAAATGTGAAGTACATGATGATGCCTATGAAATGTTTACCCTACACAAAGTTCACTTGCTCATCTCTTAAATATTCCTTATAGTAAGATATTTGTCTTACCAGGAAAGATGCATTTACAGGTACATATTGCCATAATTACCTGTGTCTGTCTCTCTTTCACACACACACCCACCCACCCCTTCTAAAAGGACAGATTAGTCCTCAAACTAGTTAAAGGTGTCAATGTCTCCATCTAACCATTTAGGCCTTCTGAGATCCTTATATTCTTATTTTTTCCATTTAAAGAATAACCTATATTTGTGCTTAAAAATTCTGCAATAAACAAATACAATGAAATCAATAGCATTGTGAAAATTACTGGTAAATGAAACCAATAATTAAAAAATTACTTGGTTGTAACAGCCTGGTTACTTTGTTTGATAGTGGAATGTGTTTTAAACTATTATTATTGGAGTGTTGGCATAAATTTTTCAGTTCTGACATAAGAATGGAGATATATTGGGTCACTTTTTCTATATATATCTTCTGTTGTCTTAGGGTTTTATTATTACCTTTGAAGAACTGAGAATTTCAATTTAGGAACCTAACTGAATGTATCTTGGAAATCTATTTCAACTGTGGAAACAGATTCCTGAGAACAAGCACTGGATTTTAGGCTTACTTGATTATGTGCTCAATACTAGCTTTATTTGAAACAACAGAAAAATAACGTGTTTATTCTGATACTGGGTTCTAGAATAGTACCAACACAACAGTCAAAACTATTTTTGTCACCTGACTTTAAATGCAGGTCTAGCAGGAATTTTCACAAAGGAAAAAATAAAATTCTATTACCATAGAATCACAGAATCAAATTGGAAGGAGCCTTGTACCTCATCTAGTTCACTTCCCTGCCCAAAGCATGGCCAACTTCAAAATTATATCAAGTTGCTCAGGGCTTTGTTTGGCCAACATTTGAATATCTCAGAGAGGGAGAATTCTCTGGATTTAATCACTCTTCCTGTTAGAATTTTTTTCCTTTATTCAACTGGAATTTCCCTTGCTGCAACCTGTGTCCACTGCCTCACACAGTTTGCTGATGTCTCTTCTATGTGGAGGGGTGGTGGTGGTAAAACTAAAGGAAAAACACTGGGCACAATATTGAAATGTACTGTACTCATAACCATACTACTGATGTGGTTTGGTGTGAATTCAGGGTTGTTTTCAATGGAGAATTCAGGATGTGCAGTAAAACAAGGCTGAACGTACAACACGCTGGCTACTCCACACTTCAACTCTGTAAATATTTAGCCGACACTTAGCATGAGCTAATTTGTAAGGCAGAGTAAATTCTTGTAGAATGACTGTCTTAAAACATGCTAAGAGGATCCACAAAGAAATTTCTAACTTACAGGCTTCCTTCCTTCTCCTATGGTACAAGTTGCACCATACCAAATTATAGACAAGGTAATGAATTTGGAGCTCCTCCTTCATCCCCTGTGAGACCAGATTGTTCATACTTACTTCTCTCCTATCTCAAAGCTGCTGAGTGTCCTTAAAGTCCTTTGATGAGGTGCCATGTGGAATGCCTAGGTAACAGGAACTGACACTCACTTATCAATTTGTTTGTTGGGTGTCTCTGAAGAGCTCTAAAAGCCATGTGAGTCAGGACTTCCCTTTAGCAAAGCCACATTGTCTCTTCTCAGATATATCATACTTATTTTGGTGTCCACCATGACCCTTATTTAGATGTTCAGTCTGCTCCATTCCTCTTGTTTAATTCAGCAGGTGCTATCTGTCTGCGCTGTACCTGAAATGTGATGCCTTAAGCTATTCCCAGCTCCCCTTCGAGAATTTAACTCCCCATACCTTATCCCCTTAAATTCTGCTGAGCAGTGTAATAAAGTCAGCTACTGCTGCATGATGCTCCGACCTCAGGAAAATCTTACAGGTGAGCTTGGGAAGGCTGGTTTACCTTCATGAACATGCTGAATCCAGTTTTAAGGAGATCAGTGAGGCCTGATGAAATGTGCTCAATATCAACAGGATCGGGCCGATCGGGATTGCAGACCTCTTCCACCACCTGCTTCAGCAGAGGTTTGTAAGAAGCCTGCACAAAGAGAAAATGCATTGTGATCAAACCTGTTTAGACTCAGTGCAACCATGATTCGAAATATTTTATTTCTGTTAAAGGTTACAGAAATAATTATCCCACAAATGAAAGGATTCAGAGAGGTTGTGACCTTGACTGCAGATGGTGTGCACCAGCGCATAGAGTGACAAGGAAGAAAAGGGGGATTTTACTTTCTCTAGAATCTTTTTGGAGGTAATACAGAAATGGATAACCATACAGATGGTGCACAGAGACACTGTTGCCCATTGTGCACCCAGATCTCATTCCCTTTCTAGTGCTTTTATAAACACCTAAACAGGGACTTTTTTTTAATTGACCACTCCTACCTTATTCCAAGTGTCATGTCCCTACGGATGTCTGGATACCAGAAGGCAAGGGAAGAGACCAGCCTGCCTGTTTGTCCCTCATGGGAGAGCACAGCTAAGGAGTCTCTGTTAGTCCTTTAGCTTCTATGGCCATGGCACTCTACATACTTCCACCTGTGGAAGACTTCTGAACAACAGGCCAAAAAACCTCACCACTACCATGAATGTCAGAGCTTCTGAGAAGTTAGGGGCTAGGAGAAGTGGAAAATGTAAAGGTACAAATGATCAACATGCTGGAAGGTCTACTCCAAAAGGATCAACCATGTATCCTCTTCAGGATCCACAAACCCTGTCTGAAAATGAAGTAGTAGCTCAATAATCTCCACACTCCAATACCAAGGTTTCAACCACTCTGACATGCTGAAAAAAATATAAGATAAAACTTTTAGGAACCAATGGAAAGATGTTTAATGAAAATTCAAGCTTGATTTACAGATGGAGCTTTGTTTTACTGCTTTGAACTTTGCCCAAACTGCAACACAACCACAATCATTTCAGAAAGGGCAACCATCTTAGAAAATGAGCAGCTTTAAAATTAGCAGACTTATTTGGTTTTGGGACTACCCCAGATATATATCATGCCTTAGATTACTTAGGGAAATCAAGTGCAACATCATTAATTTTGCAAAGATGGTATCTACAAGAGACATATTTCAAGTAAATAGTAAAAATTGATGGAAAATAAAACACAAACCACTTGGCTTGAAACTAAAATTTTCTGGAGTCATTAAAGAAATGTTTTTCATCCAACACTTTAGAATGAGAAACAAAGCTTAGAGTTTTTTTAATACAATGCTGTCAACAAAGATTTATGCAACTCATCTAGTTCTTCTCACAACATGTGCATAATTTTTAGTTGAGCCAACAAAGCAAATTACAGCAGACACGAGCTGCAGGATCTTCTAGAACATGTCAAGATTTCTGTCAAATCTAGTCACGCAATAAACAACTGTTTGAAAATACACATGTAGGCATGAAGTCCTATTTATAAAAATCTGTTTAATATCTTCATAGATGAGGAACAGAAAAACATTAGGAATGAAATATTTTTGGAGCAGAGATCAAATCACAGTTTAACAGAGAGGCTTATTCCACAAAATTAAAGGAAAAACATCATCTGACTGAAATGAAAAATATCATTCAGAAAAAACTCTCTACTCAAAAGACGTCAAAAATTAGCTATGATTTTGCATGTCTGAATTTTCAGAACCAAAACTCAGTGCCCTTCACAACAACCCAGTCAGACTACACAGATACTAAAATACAGATAGTACAATCCCCTACCTTTTTAAAGTATAATGGTTTCAAATATTAAAAAAAATCTTTTATGACTTGAAATTAATCTACTATATTTGTAGGGTTTTTTTTTTCCATACAACTCCCAAAACCTTCATTGGTTTCTTTCTCATATAATGAAACTTGGATCGGCTTTAAATTTTGGTAGGCACAAATTTGTTTAAAATAGCTGTTAAAAATCTCAATAGCTATGGGACACACCCCATATGAGATTATAAAGGGGAGAAGAGAGAGAAACAGAGACAAAGAGAGAGAATGAGGAAAGGAGAGTGAGGCATGGAAGAAGGAATGGAGAATGGGAAGGAGGAAGGCAGAAATATACCTAGAACACGATGAAAGTAGTTTCAATAACAGGCAAAATTCTGTTCTTGCATGGTCACTACATGAACTAATTTGACAACCTGATGAAAACATTTATCATTTTATGTAAGACATACAAACTACAATGCTACAAAAAGTCCTTCTAAGAGGCTATCCAATTCCCAGTTACTTATCCATAGAAACCTCTTTTTGAGTCTTAAGAAGAAATGGAAGCTTCCCAGCTTTTAACAGACAAAGTGAAAAAGTATGTAGAGGCTAAACCCACTCCCATAGCACTAAGCAGGTTTGGCAATGAGTGTGGTCACAGGACAGGCACTGCTTCTTCTGAGGAACTGAACTGACTGCACACAACCCCTGCCAGCCAAAAGAGAGGCCCGTTTCCAGAGAGCTGTAACTATCATGGACAATCACATATTGCCTGCTTATTTCTACTATTATAAATCTCCTGGACTTCCCTCAGGAGAAGGTTTGTCCTACTCAAGCAACTAGATCCCTTGCATGGCTAGATTAAGGAGATGAAAAGTGTTAATATATTCCTTGCTGTGTTCCAGCACTTATCCCTAAGCAAGCAAAGTGGATTACATCCAAAGGACATACTGATGCTAATTACACTTCCAGGAAACTTTCCTTATCATCTCACTGCCCCTGCACTGAACTGTATTAAATGTTTAACAATTTTCCCCATTTTGGACACCAGACTGGTTCAAAGTGCTAGAAGACTTCAGGAACAGGTTTTCTTCATCTTAGAAATTTCCAGTGACATTTTGCAACAGTCGAGTTCTTCCAAAGCAATGCTTAATTTGAACTACATCCCTTTGCTGGTCTACAGCACCATTAGGACTTTGGAAGGATTTTTTTATGGCTCAGGGCTAGAATCATGTTTTATGATCCCTCTCTAAATCACTACTTTCTGCTGTAGAACTCTATTTTTAACTGGGAAAGGTCTTCAGGAGAGACAGAGAGAAGGAAAACCACTGTCTATTAGTCCTGATGACCTAAAGCAGTATTGTAGATCATCTATTTCTATTTCAGAAACAGAAGCTGCTTTTGTGACCTATTTAAAAACAGGTTTGTCCCTCATGCTTACAGGGATAGGAGAGGAAATACAACAAGAATATAGCTGCAGTATGGGTGCAGACATTCTGCTTCATTCTGCCTTGAGCAGTCTAAGTCGAGAGCCATCTTGACCTAGCCCTGCCTTTCACAGGCATTCATGTCATTCCACAGGGCTGCAGAGCAAAGCCCAAATTTCTTCCTCAGAGCTGACATTGATATGCATATGCCTGAGCCTGGACAAAGGACTTGAGGAAATTTTTGATGGCTGGATCAATTATAAAATCTATGCTTAAGTATCTTCTTCATAGGCAGAACGTGTATAGGATTAGCACATCCACAAAATTAGTGCCGTAATTTTGAGAGCAGGCTAAAGAAATAACAAACACAGGGAAAAGACAGCTACAGCTACACTTGCCTGGTGGGTGTTGCTGCCTGGATTATGTATGGAATGGAACTGTTTCATGTGCAGTCGGACCCTGGCAATATCCCGGAGGGACCGGAAGATACCGTCCACGGCATCTGTGGCTTTCTGAGATGTCAGGTTCAGTGACGAGTCACAGCCTAAAGAAATAAAGAAACACACAGCTGAGTGAGTGAAAAATGTTCATGTGTTTTGATAATAAACAGTAGGAAAAGGGTAACTGGGAGGAAATTTTAAATTATTTTTATTGTATTATATTTTATATTATACAATTTTTATTGTATTATATTCTGGAAACTCGGGGGCTTGTTAGGCAGCATGTCCTCAGCATGGCATAAGTCTCTGCAGACAAGCAAGAAGGCAAAAATTCTGGACAGCAGGCAAAGTGAAGAGTGCCTCTCTTTGTAACCTCCATCACACAGCATTTTCATCAGCACAGAGGATATTTTGCTATTCACAGGCAACAGAAGGTTTCATGCTAGCAGACCCCAAAGAAGATCCCCCCGTTATGTGGGAAGGAGCCAGCGGGTTTTCTGGTCTGCTTGGGCAACAGCCATGAAGAAGGGAATTGCTCCTCCCTGGCCAGCAGCCTTCTCACTCCAAATACATTTCCTACCTTTGTGACAAGAAAAATGGAAGAGTCTGTGCTAAATACAGCAGAAAGGTCAGACAGACTTTGGAAAAAGCTGCATTATCACAAAAAAGTTCCTATCCCTCAAAATGGCAGAGTTATTACCTCTAAAGTATTTTTCCAATGCACTTCTTCTAAGGTATAATGCTTATCTTCCACTAAGGCTAAATTCCAATTACAGGACCACCTAAAATGTCCCTCTGGGTGGCCAGACAGGGCCTTGGAAAAAAGTCTTGGCTCCATCCCCCTCACCATACGACCTATACTGCACAGAAGCATTGAAATAAATGCTTTCTTGACTACACTGCTAATGAGAATTAGCCAAGTGAGAGGTAAGTGGGTCACCTGATATTTTTATTGCCTTGTCAACACAGTTCTACTCCTCTTGACATCTCTGCCTGCCTCTCTGCTTGCTTGACTCTTCATCCTTGTGGCAGAAAATCCATCATAAAATAACTCTTCTTGCCACATGCTCACACCAACACACTCCCTCCTGCTTATTGCTGTTGTCTTCTCCAGACATGATGCGGTAGTGGCTTCTGAGTCCATCCTCCAGTTCAGAAAGCAATCCTGCACCAGTAAACCTCTGTGTCTATGCAGAATTCTGCTGAGAGGACAAGGTCTCCCTGCAGGTCCAGCTTGCACTGTGCTGCACCCTTGGAGCCTGGACTGAAAACAGGCATCCAGACTGTCAAGAAGGCACCTGGATTTTGGGGTAGGAGATCCCTGAACAAACTTTCTCTGCAACTGACAAAGGACAGAATCCTTATGTACTTTAAAAAATCAATAAATAGGTGGTAAGTTCAAAATGTACAGGGAATATTTGACAGTGAATCTGAATTACTTTCATACCTTGGTGTTCCACACAGTAAAAACTATACACAATATAAACACATACACACACATACACTTGTAGAGCTCTGAAACTGTTCCTAAATGATGGTGATTAGACACTGAGCTATCATTTGTCTGAATATCATTTGTTGAGGAGCGGTGTGGGAGCCCTGGCACACTGGGCTGTGCTCAGCTGTGCCTTCCAGCTAAACCGGAAGTGTATCTCCAGGAGCACTGGAGCATGGAGGGGCCAATGTCCATTTCCAGTGTCCAGGTCAGAGTGCTGTGCTGGACCCAGTTTGGGACCCCAAGGTGGCACTGGAAGATGAAGATTCAGTCTGGCTGTTTATGGCTGGCCTGACAGAGGGAAGAGAGGTGTACTTTCAAATTTCTCTAAAATGTGACTTCCTTGGGACTTTCCATCAAGAAATATAATGTCTGAGGAACCAGGGATATCTATATCCAGCCTGACATTCAGTACCTCTTTTTTTAATGTAAATGAAAAATAAGTTTTCTTAACAATCCCTTATTGTTGAAATCAAAATCTCTGAAGGCTGCAGTCTACCTGTTGCTCTAGGGTTATAGAGGGGAGCCAAGTTTCTTTCCAGCCTGGAGAACAACAGAAGCTTGTTTTTACAAGTGGCAGGCAACTACAAATCACCTCCCATTCACACCTTCCCTGCAAATGGGGCTTTGCAGCATATGGAGAGCAGAACACAGTCCCTCTTCTCTGCTCGCTTCAAGCTCCCAAGAAATCTGCCCCTTTTACAGCAGTGAAGAGGTGGAATATATTAGCTGCTGCACAGCTCATGTACTAATTAAAACAAAACTTCCTCTTACTGTTTTTTCTTGGGAAGTTAAATGCCATTTGGAGAGCACGCTGAATGGATTCTTTTGAATCTCAAGCTCTATTACACATGGGAAAAGGCATTTAAATAAAATTTTGGGATTTCCTGTTGGACTTGAAGAAGCCCAGTTGTGGAGAAAAAGAAAATCACCACTAACCTGCAGAGGACTCAAGATTTTAAAGAACATAGCCTAGTTTTGCAGTGAAGAAAATGAGTCTGTTGGGAGCTGCATTCAGTGCCTACCAGCATGAGACTTATGAACTTTTTCAGGAGACAAAGTACATCTCCTTTTAAGCAACATATCTGCATAACCACTATTTCCACAATTAATCCATTTTCATACCAAGTTTGAAAAAAGGAGAATGAATGGAGATGCTGTTTTCTACAGTACTGAGTGACCCAGGAACCAAACAGGACCAGCTTTTCTACTGATTTCTGAAACTGGAAGGAAAATGCTTTAAGAAAAGGACATGGCACTGTGAAACCATAATAGAGATTCATAATTAAAGAGCAGCATGTGATGGATTATCCTCCCTCTACCTCCAAAATGTAACAAATGGGAATTTCAGACCTGAGTTTGAGGAAACTTTCCACTCTTAGTTCTTAGTCTCTTTTGGTACACATAAACAAACTTGCTCTTTCTCTAAAGAAGTATGATAATTATCAACATTTTCGGAAGGACTTTGATAATTCAGACACATCACTAGGCCTATGATTCTTACAAAGTTGAAAGTTCAGGAAAGCTGAAAGTTTATCACTCCGCTCTGTATTATTGGTATTAATATCAGCTCTCTCCACCTTAGGCTCTCTCTATAACCCTTTTACAGAAATAAAGCAATGTTAACCCTGCAAACCCTGGAACAGAGCCAGCAGAATAACCAAGCCATTTCAGAGGCACACATTGAATCATGGGCTAAAACAGCAAACTTGCACTCTGAGGGAGAGAAAATCCAGCATCAGGATTTCATTATGCAGAATTTCATTATTTTCTAGATATGCAAAGTTAATATGCTTGTCAGCAAAAGACAGAGGAACAAAAGAGATAAAGGGTTCCTTGAAGGTTAAAACTGAAAATACAGCACTATGATATTAATTAAAATCTTCTATTTTTATACTTTAGGTGATAGCATAGCAACGTGGGCCCTTCTTTGTCTAGCAGATAAATCTAAGGATCTACATATGCACATCCAGAGCCATATGTTTTACAATAGTTTTGGTATATTTGTGCATCAAGATCTTTTATGCAAAATAAGTTACAAATGTGTACAGTGACACAGATCATGGCTGGTTTTTGCAGGATAAAAAAAAGTGTAAAACCCAAAACTAGGATGTAATTTGTATAATTCTCCTGTCACTTTTCTTCCCTATGGATTCTGCCACACATTTGAATCTTTATTCTTCCATCTGATTTGTACTGAATTGTCTGATACTCTCCGATGCATCTAAAAAGTGAAGCTGCCAAGTGAGTGTGACAATGTGGGACAGGGAAGGACAGGCCAGAACACAAGAAATCTGTCATTTCCCTATAGTTACACCAGCAGAAGGTGAAAAATTGTAATTGATTCCTTTCTAGTTTGGGGGAATTCAGAAGACAGGTGTGTTCTACAGCCCTTGAGTGAAGAGAGTGTCCAGAAGGGGCAGACACAGTGGTGCCTGTGACAGCTTCCCTGCAGCACATCCATCCCCAGGGCTGGAGAGGCTCCTGCTCTGTGCTCACTGTGTCCTCTGCATCCCCAGCCAGAGCATGTGTGGTGCTGGATGGACAGGCAGGCTCACCCCTATAAACTCTGTGGCCCTCCTATGCACTTGTTACAACCGTTCCATATCCTTCTTATGTTGGGGATCCCAGAGCTGGATGCAGCACTCCAGAAGGGGTCCCACAAGAGCAGAGCAGAAGGGGAGAATCACCTCCTTCAAGCTGCTGGCCAGCCCCTCTTGATGCAGCCCAGAATTTGGACTAGCAATGCCAGCAGGCAGAAAAGATAGGGAGCAGGAGGAAAGAACAGAATAGCAGCATGTGGGAAAAACATTAGAAAAGGGGGGGAGGGAATGCACACAATATCAAAAATCAAAGCTCTGTGCTTCTATAAATTTAATTTATGATCTGATTAAGAGAGTGAAAACAAAGATGCGTTTTGGGGAAGTCACCAGCACCATGCAGTGCAAGTGATGGTATGGATCTGGTTTCTATAACAAGAGGAGTGTGCATCAGATCCACTTCCAAGGAAACCATGGAAGGCAGCATTGTGACCAACAAAGATGCAATTTGTAGTTTTATTCTCATCACAACAAACATCTCCCATTTGAAAGAAAAGCCTAGGATAGTTTTTTTAAGAGTAAACTAAATTTAGAATCCTATATCTCTGCTTCAGCTTTTAAATATGCATCCACACTCAGCACTCAGTGCTGAGCATCCAGGGATTGGACACGTATGTTTCCAAGGGCATTTGAGCACATTATCTGATCTTTATTACATAAGGACACATCCTGTAATAATCCTGGAGTTTCCTGAAGAGCACTGTGCTTGGAAAGGTTGTTTTTGACATCAAGTCTTTGAACCCTCTGGAAACTGCTCTTTGGTGTACAAGCGACACACAGACCACGTGGATAAGAACTTTGCTGGATCTAAAGTTGCACATAAAAAAATCTGGTCACTAACCTGCATGATTAAATATGGATTTAAGAGCTACCTTAGGAGAGTAATTTTTTTTTTTAATTTTGGCCTTAATATCTGTCATTTGGATATTTCGATTCTACAGGAATATTTTATTGCCTTCTTCTTGCCAAAATCCAACAGCACAACTTGTAATATCAACTTTTATGAAGC